GTAAATACACTAACAGCACCTGGAGAGCTGCTCCAGTCTCATCCCACTGACACAATATTATTCTGCTGATCTTAACTCACTCTGGGGAACACACACACACACACACACACACACACACAGCTTCCTGTTCCTTTGGGGACACTCATACACACTCCCTGGTCTCAGTCAGATCTCACCACAGACCAGAACCAGAACCTTTGTGTCCCAGTAAGATGGTTGTTGGTTTGAATCCCTGTGGCAGTAGTAGTTCACCTGCTGACCACACGACTCTGCCTGGTGGTCAGGTGGGGAACTGTGTCCTCACCGGCTACAGGTTTGAAAACTCTGGTACTTGTTCAGGTTAAAAGCCCCCCCCCCCCCCTCCCCCCCTGTGGAGGGTCACCTGACGACGGGTCATGTCCAGTACAGTGTCAGAGTGGACGTTTGATTTGTGTCTCATCACCACCAACACTCTGGAGAGACCCTGACAGAAAACCTTTTGGGTCAGTGTGTGACCTTTGGGGTCAGCGTGTGACCTTTGGGGTCAGCGTGTGACCTTTGGCTTCGGGGACTTATATGAAGTGTTTCAGCTAAAGGTTGTTATAACAGGAGGAGCTGGAACTGTGTGGAACTGTTTCTGTGGAGATCTGCAGCCCAGGATCCCTGTGGAGACCTGGGCCTGTCTCCCTACTGCTGCCCCCCCCCCCCCCCCCCCCCCCTCTCTCTCTCCCTCTCTCTCTCTCTCTCTCTCCTATAGTGTTGAACAATAACCTCAATATGTGTGTTCATCTCCTCATGGTGTGTGTGTGTATGAATGCAGCTATTTTTGGACCGTCCAAGGCCACTCTCTCTCTCTCTCTCTCTCTCTCCCCCCCCCCCCCCCCCCCCCCCCCACAGCTCCATCACAGTAGAAGGAGAGGAAAAGGTCTACAGATGACGTAGACCGTGTTGAGGGTTAAAGGATGTTTGAAAACTTTGTCTGATTAAAATAGATTTTAATCTGGATGAAGATTAAAACAGCATCAACAACAACAACCTAACAACAACAACAACCTAACAACAACAACCTAACAACAGTGTTGTCAACAGTTCAATCATCTGAATAAAACGTCAGGTGTAAAAACTCTGCATCGTTCCTTTAACAGACGACTCCTGCAGGTCTGACAGACTGAGGTCAAACTGAAGTTTGTTGGTTTCTGACGCTGCCTTCATCTGTGTGTGTGTGTGTGTGTGTGTGTGTGTGCGCCCTGGTCTTATTGGTCTAATGAATTTTTAATGGACTTGTTGGGAAGAGTCCATACATTTTGGGACTCGTATGTACGGGCTCTAATTACCTCCTCCTCCTGCTGCTGCTGCTGCTGCTGCTGCTGCTGCTGCTGCAGAGCCCACCCTTTCTCTTTCTCCCACTCCTTTCACTCCTCCTCTCCCTTCTCCCTCTCTTGCCCTCCTATTCTTTTATTACCCCTACATGCCCCCTCTCACCTCCTGCTCTTGTCTTTCCGTTGCCCGGTGCTCCAGGCGCTCGCTCTGCTCCTGGCAGCTGTGACAAAGACGTGTCTGTACCGGGGGATGAATCTGCTCTGGGCAAACACACACACACCGTCTCATCATGACCTCACCCTCACCCTCACCCTCACCCTCACCCACAGTTTGACCCACATCCACACTAAAGCTCAGTTGTAGCTCAGTAGCCCGGTGCCAGGCAGCGGCGGCTAATGGCCGCTCAGAGGCCCTGCCCCGCGTAAAAGCCCTGAGTCTGCAGCAGGGCTGTTAGTTTGGCACAGACCTGTCAGTTGATTTGCTGCTGAGTCGGACTCACAGCTCTGGGAATCCCTGCGCCGTCCCATCAGCCCCTGCTCTCCGCCCTGACACTTCAGTCTAATGTTGGGATTCAAACCTTCTCCTCTTTTATTTTTCACATTTGAATTACAGACGTTTGTCATCGGTCTTCATCTTCTTCTTCTGTTTTATCTCCTTCACCCCCTGGATCTCTCTCTCACTCTTTTCTCTCTGTTGCTTTCATCTCCCCCCCCCCCCCCCCTCTGCTGGTGTGTGTGAAGGAGTGGAGGTTATTGTTGGACTGCTGCGAGGGCCACATCGCTGGAATAGCAGCAGTGTTAGAAGTCTGTTAGGGGCCTGCCACCAAGATCACACGGAGGAAAAGAGGCATCCGCACTGGAGGAGGAGGAGGAGGAGGAGGAGGAGGAGCAGTGAGCGGGAAAGGGGGGGGGAGGAGATGGAGGGAAGTTGGGGGAGGAAGGGGAATAAGTAATCTGACCTGGATGACAACAGACTACCAGACGAGCTATGATCTCATCTCTGTCTTAATCCCACCCTCTTCTGCCCCTGCTCCTGCTCCTCCTCCCCCCCCCCCCCCCCCCCCCCCCCCCCCTTTCTTTTTTTTTTTTTTTTTCTTTTTCTTTTCTTCT